TGCCTAATCTTCAATTAATAATAATAATATTACTTACATTTGACATGGCATCTTTCACGTCAGGAGGGACGTCTTGAAGTGTTTCACAGGACATACTGTAAGTGTAGTGACTGTATTTTGTAGGTTAAACGCCTACAATTCTATCAAACGACACCTATCGGGTCAATAAGAAATATCAACCAACAATTAAGAAAGCTTAATATTTTACAAAATTCACCCTCTTAAGAGATTTTAGGCAACAACAGATTCTTACTATTTGATCTCATGCAGATTCCATTCCCTGAAATCATAATAACAAAGTCCTCAGAGTGTGTTTTGTTGCAAATATTGGAGTACTAGATCTTCAACCCCCAGTAACTGATTTTTGAACATTAGCCATTAGAATTAACTGCTACTACTAACTGCTGTTGAAGAACACTGTGCAGAACCCATAGACTATTTAAGATAAAACCTTAATGTAAGCAAAAATCTTGGTTGTAATATTAAATCATATTTATTTGATGCGTATCCAAAATTCCCATTTGGTAAATTTTATTCTGCTTGGTGAAGACTGCACAGAAAGCATAAAGGTTTGACTTACCTCATCACTCAAGGACGAATGAAAGCTTTTAAAGTCATTAAGTGTGTTTTCCTGCTTCATAAAACAGCAGTGTCTGGGTTGTCTCTTGCATCTACTCATATGATGACTTTCCGATCTTCGACAGGACACCTGAGGAGAGCGGCATCCCACAGGGTTAGATGGAAATCTGAGCGAGTCAAAATGGTTCACTCAAACACACACCATCTAACTACTGAATGAATAATTGAATAGTCTTAGACCGGGGAACAGGTAATAGCCTTATCCTCTTTGGGGAAGGAGGTAAAATTAAAGATGGGAGATTATAAATTACAAATGTGATCACATTGGACACGTCTGCTATTTTAGGAGAAGCACAGTTCAAACACGGAGCACAGTTCAAAAGAAGGTTTGATCTTAAATAATCTATAGGTTCTGCACAGTGTTTTTCAACAGCAGTTCAGAAGAAGATGACAAACTACACTGATATTTGAAACCTCAACATATTACTGCTTTGAGGGGTGCTCTAACCAATGCATGATTACACTGCCATTTCATTGAATAATATTACAACAGCAATGTCAATGGTAATCAAACATGTGTCCCTTCATATTGCATGATACGATCCAAATGACATTCACCATAATGGCTGGTGGGCTTTCATAACCAACTTCAGAAAACTATCATGGGGAACTCCAAGGAATTACAATAATAGTCATTGTCGTATATAATACAGAATGATAGTTGGGCTGCAACACAAGCATGAGGTGAGATGAGAATCACAAACCAGTCTACCTTTCTTTTACCCCCTAAATTCACCCATTCTGCTAAGACCTTTGAAACACATCTCTATAACTAATAGGTCAAAGTTTTTAGAACAAGGGTTCAACGTTCTGCTGTTCAATATCTATATGGTTAAATATGTTCCAATATTTAAAAAATAAGAAATAAGATAAGTACTTTGAAGAGGTACATCCTTGAAGCCCATTAATGATCTGAAGAATGATTTCTAGTTTTGTTTTTTAACTGGGATTGAATACCAGACACAGATCTCCAAAGTTTCATTTTATAATTAATTTGGATGTTCAGCAATAATTCTTGTTACTTCTCTGACATGTTGGATTGATCTAGAATCCTTCAGGGACTATGCTAAAATAATTATGGTATCAAAGTTAATGATCCTTCAGCTAATAAGTCCTGTACAACAGTTATTTAATTCAGTCTGAAAATAAAACAAGGAAGATTATTTCCTGCAAATTCTGAAAAAGATAAGATCTTTATGTTCTCAAAGCCAAAGAAGATAATATTTGTATTGCCGTTGTTGAAGCAACATTTGGAATATGAGAGTGCTGGGACGGCAGAGGAGCGCTTAAAGTGATGGCTGCCATGTTTTGGGGAATATTGTTGGAGAATCTCGCCTGTGATATAGTTGAGGCAGTGTTGCCTGCAGGAGAGCAAGCTCCACAATTTACAGAGGCACAGTTTTCGAACGATGCCAAGCTCCATTTAAGTATTAACAGAAGCTATGTTATACCAATTTAGACTTCCAGCAGGATTCTATTTGTTGCAATAACAGATGGTTAGACAATGGTTGACAGCCAGGTGTATGTCAGTGATGTGCCAGTCAAACCAATTGAAAGAAAATAAAGATTTTAGATACAAATTAGTGCCTCGGGATGGGGAGCATTGCCAGTACTTACAGTGCACATGAAACAACAAACACGGATCCTAACAGCTGTAGTTTCTGGTTGATTGGCTCAAGCTGGATGTTTCCTACTGGGCAAAACTGAACAAAGCATTAATTGGCTTTAGAGAAACAACAACTATGGGAAGAGATCCACAAGCCAAACGAGTGTTCCATCAAAATATTTAGGCCCACAAAATATACAGTCAATTCAATTTACAGTATATTCTGTGAAGCGCTTTGAGACGTCTGGAAGACCTGATAAGGTGCTGTATCAAATGCAAGGATTATTGTTATTATTATTATTATTATTATTATTATTATTATTATTATTATTATTATTATCAGCAATTTCCTCAACCCTGGTGCTGGAGTGCTGATGTGGGGCACCACCTAGTGGTAATACATGACATAGTTCCCCAAAAACTGACCACAGAGTGAGTCTCAACCTCCATCGGGGGAGATGGCAAACAGAGGTAACGAACGAAGACAACTTCACGAAAGAACTTATTTCACTTTTTTGTACTCTTGCACTCCTCCGCGAGAGAGTGGCGTTAGCACCGCAGTTTAAGTGCCCACTCTTCTTTCACTAGGAATATTCCACTCTTATTATTGAGGACACAGGAGGGATACAAACTTTGTAAGTCTTCATCATTAAGCCAGATGACTTCAACCTTGAACTTACAACTCAACAGCCTTCATTCGTTATACGCGTATGTTTGTTATTGTACTTATGTGTTTTATATTTTCTCACCAGAAAAAGTAAAGATAAGAAGATCAAGGTGGATGGTGTGAGGTTGCCTGGCATGGTGAGTATTTAAATTGCTACCTCTGGCTAAAAGTAATACATTAAATTGCAATTTGTGTTTATTTATCCAAGTTTAAATTTAGGTCCTGGTTAAGTCTCCTTCAACCTAGAGGCCCAACTGGAAAGTTAGTCTCAGCTTGTCCACTGGACGGTTTGATTGACTGTGGGAAGGTACTCATACCCGATCCTCATCCTGAATATATAAATTTGTGAGCTTTCCAGTTAGGGTCATTTGGCAGAAATCATGATCAGAACATTGCCTGATTTCTCCCCTCCCCACCTTCCCTAGATACACTGAGACCAATTGTATTGCCCATATAATGTCCCTGACTGAGAGAATTCCACACAGACTGGGAACAAATATGGTCAGAATGGTACTTGCCTTTTTTACAAGAAACTTGCAAAGTGAGCAACATCCATGCTTACTGTCCTTTCTTATTTCTCAAGCCTGGTTAGTAAAATGACAGGGTGTTACTTGAATTCTTTTAAAAATGCTTTGATGTGGTGGCGTCTGTTATTATAGTTCACTCTAATGTTGTTTCAGGGTACACTTAACCCGCCTCAACTTCGCCCCACTAACACACCTGAACCGACAACGCATGAACCAAGCAGGGTGCTTTGCGATGGTGAGAGTAAGTAAACCACACACACACACACACACACAGAAATGTACTTTACCAGCTGTGCTTTTGCCAACAATGTACAAACACAATATAGTCGTGAGCTAGAAAGCATACTGCTTCACAGAGTTTGGGTTACTATTCATCTTAAGGGTTCTTCTAATAACAAAACAAGTTAGATGTGTGCTGGTTTGAGATTGTATATTTTTAACTTGGATCTCTGGAAAGGAGTTAAAGCTACTGGGATGCCAATGTCACCTTTGGAAAGTCAGTAACCAAAAGAGTCAACATATTGGCTTCATAGGACAGTTCCAGGTTGTATCTCACAGCGCAGACCTACTCTATTGGAATGAATGGCTTCAAAATCTGACAGGCTGTTTGGCTGTGGGATGTGATTAATCTAATTTGGAAGCTAAACTGAAAACTGAATTATTGCCATTTGGATCAGCTCATGTTCAGACATAGTTTTACTATAGATTTTCAGTTTTAGAGAGTTTTATTTTAATTTTAGGGAATATTTAGCATTTGCTGACACAATTCTAAATCTTGAGCTTGAGGTGCAGCATTGGAAATAATAATCCTTGCATTTGATACAGCGCCTTATCATGTCTTCGCGACGTCTCAAAGTGCTTCATCAGAATATACTGTAAAGTGAATTGATTGTACATTATGTTGGTGAAACAGTTAATTGCAATACAACTATTTTACCAATAAAAGTGCAAGCAAGATGGCATTAATAACCGAAGGTCCTCAAAGAACACCACGGTTAAATCTGCGCTGTGTATAGAACAAGTAATTTGTTAAAACAAACAAAAAGATGGAATGAAAGGTGTAGAAGAGATTTACAGCATGTATTGTCATGTTGATGAATTTGGTTCCCAGACACTGTTTTGTATCTTTTGTATGTAGATGGGTTCAGAAGCCGGCCAGAGAGCACCGATTTTCAATACCTTTCTGGCGCAGATGACTTGGAGGACGATGGAGATGAGTCAAGGAATTCGAGATGCTTACATAACAGAGAGCTGCCTGGAATTCCTGGGAATAATTATGTTGATGGAAAGAAGCCCGCTGCCAGAAAAACGAATGACACAGAATGCTTTTATACCCAAGCCAACAAATACCCTCAACGGGAAAACTGTGTTGAGGACTCACTGTATGAGAGCGTTGGAACCAAATGTGAACCTGAACCTGTTAAAATGAGACCTAATCAGCAATCAAAGCCTGCCAGTGAACGTGACAGGACATCAATGCCTCAAGAGGAGGTCTCAAGGGGTATAAAGGAATCAGCTGATACTGGAAGCACAGCTGAATATGCCTCAATTCGGAAGGTCAAAAAGAAAGGGAAGACCCGAGTTTGGAGGATGAGTTGGGAGCGTCACCATGGAGAAACGGAAATATGGACCGTGCGGGCTTAAGGGCGCCCATCCATAACGAGGAACGAAAAGTGGGAGAAAAGCCTGCTGTGTTTTCCAAGCCCGAGGTATCTCCGTTTCCTATATTTACTGGGAAAGTTGCCGAAACTCCTAACGTTGGTGTGAGTGTGCGGTGCATAATTTGTTTGTGTTTTAATTCCTTCGTGCAAGGGAAAAAGAATAATGAAAGCTTAAAGTCGAACGATGATTTATCAATTGTAGGGATTATTATAATTATCCTGTGGGTGATTATACCAAACTACGGTGTCAGTGTCTGAGTGATTGAGATTGTTGGGCAGGTAACAGAATTCTTAGGAAACTATAATGCATACACGCACAGCTTGAACAAAATAAATGTCATAAAATAACATATTCTTGGGAATTATTCCTTGGGGATTTGTGAAAGGTGCATGACATTTAACAAATAAAAGGTGAAATGTTATTGACTTATCAACGAAACCTTTACGTCCCTATCCTTAGCCATGATTTTAATGTGTAATACTCTTGATGTAGACTTATCTTGACTGATAAAGAATATTAAGGGCCTGTGAAACCCAAACTTGATCTCATCATCCAAAATGATACGAAACTCACCAGAGGCTGTCTTGTCATTTTCAGTGTCGCTGCTTAATTCAGAAAGTGACAAGACCTGTCACAGGAATTCACATCACCCACAGCTTCCCCTTTGCATTAGACTTAGTCTCCCTCGAGTAGAATAATTCCTGTCACATCTTTATTATTTGTCCTTATTGCCATTAGCCTGTTCCAGTTTGGTTGATATCCTGTTCACCAAAGTTCATTGAATAGAAAAGCTTTTCTTCCCTTAGGTTCTATAACAATAGAGGCGTCTGCTGGCAATTCTATGTAGATTTTACAAAACCGAACATATATTATTTAGAGGGCAACTTAAACTTTGGGACAATTCTGTAAAAAATCAAAATGCCCAAAGACAAATTATTGCAAATTCTGGATAATCCACACATTTCTTGCTCTGGGCACAAATATGCATTACTTTGAACTAAAGCCTAGAGATCTGCTCCAACAGGAATATTTACTTTGCTCCCACACAGAATTAGGAACATAAAAGTGCACATTTGTTCTTCCATTTAACATTTTATAATTATAGCTTGGTTCTAAATCGGTTTCAAGACTGCCTGAGTAAACACAAGGCAATCAAAATCTCCTTTTAAAAAAATGTCAATTGAACAGTACATTTCTAATAGTTTTAGTTCCTGTGTTTTACCCTCTTACGTTTAATCATTTCACTTTTTTTTGCTTAAAAAAAAAGACCATTTGATGTAATTACCAAAATAGTAATCAGATGTTGGTAATTCGGGGCGCATTCTTTAATCTCTGTTTTACATTCCAGAAATACAGTCCTGGGAAAGAAGACATGAAGAGTATTGCAGAGAATAAAGCAACAAAACCACTGAAAGACCGTCATGAGGCAGAGAGAATCACATGTGCTAGTCTAAATGACAGTCAGACAAACTCCGGCACTGCCTGGGTTAAGGTACGTACCCAAGTAAAATGAATTATTATTAAAATATACTTCCTTTTTTTCTTGAACGAACAGAAACAAAGCAAAGGCCTTTCTGTTTATTATTCAATCCTTTTGTTTTATTTTCCGATTCTGGACAGGCTTTTTGCAGCTTCTTCTCAGTTTGATTTCCTTGCTACTCGAAATTCATCCCTTGGCAAAATGATGGGTACGGGAAAGCGAGAATGTAGCAACAAATTGGGGGTGAATCGTATCTAATTTCTTTAATAATAATAATAATTCTCGCATTTGAATACAGCGCCTTTTCCCGTCTTCTTGACATCCCACAGCGCTTCACAGAATATACTGTAAAGTGAATTGACTGTATATTTTGTGGGCAAAAATGCGGTGGCAAATTGCGCACAGCAGCGTCCCGCAAACAGAATTTTTGTGAGTGACATGCACAGAAAGAGAAAGCAAGTCCAATTCAGACCACACTATGGTCTGCCAACATTACAGCTCGTTTCGTTTGCTTTCCAATCTTTTTCCATTTTGCCTTTACTCTTCGCTGAGCAGCAGCTAGCTGGCTCGCAGATGAATAGGTTGCCACCTCCCCAGTTGAGGTGAACAGAGTGAGGGATGCAGCCAGTTTTAATTCTCAAATTTTCATTTGCCCCGAGAACCGATGGCAGCAATGCTGAACTGGCTCTAAATCAATACAGTACATTATAACCTCTAAGCCAAGCTCCAGTTCACTTTAAAGTCGCAGCCACACAGTGAGCAGGTGCTGATCTCTGAGACCCTTTGCCTTTATTTCGAGTGAAACAAACAGGAACAAAGGAAAGGGGAGCATTGTTCTACCCATTGTGAACAGCCAATTACATAGCGTCCGATATCAATCATACTCCTGTTTGAGTCGCTGCTATGAAGTGAAGATCCACTCATAGAAAAAATACCTTGGCGTCAAAGACTAAGAAAAATACCTTGGTGTCGTGGAGTCCTGTAGCTCAGTGATGAGAGCACTCGCTTCGCAAGCGAGAGACCTGGGTTCAATTCCCGGCAGGGCGAAACCTTGGGCAAGTTTCCTTACCTCCACACCCCTGATAATAATCCCTCAAGGAAAAAAACAAGAAAAAAGAATTTGGTCACTCAATCCACGACCGTTTGTGGGACGCTGCTGTGCGCAATTGGCTGCCGCGTTTTGCCCACAAATATACAGTTAATTCACTTTAGAGTATATTCTGTGAAGCACTTTGAGACGTCTATATCAAATGCAAGGATTATTTATTTTATTTATAAATTCCAATGGCTTCATGTGGTACCACAGATGGGTCAAAATCAACTATTAAATCTACTAAACAAATCGTATCGGTATAAGACTAGCCCTATTCTGATAGGTGCATCATACCTCTATAAAATAACGCTATACGTTTTGCAATGTTGTTTATAAATACATATTCTCAAAAGTTTGTTGCACTTTCCACCAAAAGAAAGTTCTCACCTTAAGTCTACAAGGCACATGAACAAGCTGCAATACACCCTAGAATCCTGAAGGAATAAATGCAGGACAAGCAACAGCCACCTGAGAATGAATAACTGGAGGACTAATGAATAGTTAATGATATTCAAAACACGAGTACAATATAAATCATTAGTGAAAAAAGGTTTTGAGTGGGGAACGAGGAATGTGACCCGCTGGATCCAAGCAATTGTTGGAGTGGTTTTAGAATTTGAGTACAAGATTATCAGGTCTCAAAGGAGATTAGAGACTGGAGAAACAAGTGTCCACACTGAATAAAAACAGCGAGGCATTGCCAAGTTGATTGATTCATTTCAAAAGGAATTAGCTCCGTAACCAGTTCAGAAAAGGACTAAAAGTTGCAGGAAGTAGGTTTAGATGCAGATGATTGAATGCTCTGCTAACACAGCGGCTCTAATCCTCTCGAGACCATGGGAATGCACTCTGTGGAATGCAACTGGTCAGATCACACAACGTAGGTACGCAGTGTGCACTGTAACAGAGTTCCTGCTTGATTGCCTTGAGGGATCATGAACAAGTTTCATTGAGTTTTGTGTTCTTGGACATTTTATTTGCAGTTATCTCCTTCCATGAGGCCTCCCTCAACCCCCCGTTGGGTGAGTCAAGGACAATGCAAATTAAAATAGGTTCTATTGTATGATGTTATGTTTCTAAACCTCATGCAATGTCCTAATCCCTGACTGTTCAGCGCCTTGGGACGTCCTCCTGACGTGAAAGGCGCTTTAAATTGTAATTTTGTATTGTATCGTACAGCACTGATACAAGTGTGATCCTGAGTATGTGAGTTTAGGTCTATATATTGGAGAATTCTTATCTGTATGAACAGTCAAGGTGAAAAGGGAAATCTACAGATGAGAGAGAACTACAACAACAACAAAAACAATAACACTATACTAAAGATAAACTTACAAAGCTCAAATTGGTAGGGATAAATCCGGAAATGTGGGGGAAGAAGTGATAAACGGAGCATTACATTAATGAATAGTTTCTTTTGGAAAAAAAGAGGCTAAGCTGTAACCACAGAGGAAATGCGTCTGGTGGTTGAACAGTTTGATAAGTCATAGGGCTGACAAGTTGTTTCTGATGGAAAAAGCAGTAAACTGTCAAGGACGACAGCAAAGTAAAGGAAGAGTCTCTATCAAACAGTCAGACTTACAATTTTGCTCTCCTTAGTGTCTCGGTTCCGAGATTTGTGATCCTTAAACAGAACGCTACCCTTAGATTTTATGAATTGCTGCCCCATAAAATCCTTTAGACAGAACTTTATCCGGATTGTTTCGTATCAGATTAAGAAACTGGGTTTGGCGCCCCATTCTCACTCCTCCACATTATCGTGGCTGTAGGTTTGGCTTCTGACAGAGGTCAAGACCCTAAGGCATGAACCATATGAGGGATGAGTTCCAGCTGTTCTAAGCTTGTCTCCTGGTAAATGTCTACGCAAGAGAACAGGGCTATTACAGCAGAGTTACTTACCTCAGGGAAACATTCCTCTGACTGGATAATGTACTAAACACCAGAAACATGTTATTAACTTGTGGGTTGAGGGAAACCGAAAAGAGACCTTTAGTAAGAGAATACACTTGCTAAAAAACAAAGTCATAAACGTATCCTTCGTATTGCTAACTTTTTTTTCTATGAATGTCAACAGTAAAACACTGTGCAAAAGTTGTCATTTCGCATTGGGAATCTTTTAAAGTATCTTGTCGCTCATACGTTGGCATTGTACTGACAAAAATTGGTGGAAAATCACCCAATAATTTTTGCAGTGAGTTTTCTTTACCCCAGGGCCGTGAAGAGGCAACTTAAAAGAATGCGCCCTGTCTTCACTGGCAATCAAAATGTTAATAGATTCTCTGAAAAATAATCCTGTCCAATAATACTTAAGTGAGTTCTGTAAATCTGCCAAAACAAACTTTTGAAATTGATGGTAGGTTCCAAATTTATTGTAATCTTTCTGATTGTAAACAAATGTTTAAATGTGTGTTATGTTAGTTTCTAAACTGTTCACTTAGAAACAGGACAAAAATTAGGTCAGAACGACTATTTTTAAGCATTCAGAAATGATGTGTGGAAGATTTTGATATTAGTGGACATTCAGTGGATGCAAAGGTTGTATTGCGCCCAGTTTATTAGCAGTGCGTATGTTATTTGGAGCCAACACTACAGTTAATGTATAGTAGATTTTAACCTACATGGTTAGCATTCAGTTGTCGAGCCAGGGAACAAACTCAACACCGAGTTATCAACTCGCTGCCACACAAGCACTTTTCACAACACAACAAATTACACTTCACGTTGGAAAGATGTCCCAGGGCGCTGGACAGTCAGGGTTTTTGGACACTCATGGGGCAATATCACAGATGAGATTGAGCCACTTCTGAAAGAATGGAGCCAATTCCTATTACCAATGTCAACCACAAGGTAATACTCTACACACACATTATCCACGCACTACAACCACACTCAACTGAACGGTCTCCGACAAGGTAGCAGTGTAGCTCAGAATGACAGAAAGTGCCCTTGAATAACCTACATCTCGAGTATAAATCAAACGTGCAGAAACAACACAAAGTGACTCAATGGCCACGCAGAGAAGATGGCCTCCAGTCACAGGCTCCTTTGCGGATCAGGTGGACCTAAACATTCCATGACGTGCATTGAACGTCAAAGCGCTGTGCCATTCTGCAGCGTACCAATCATTCTCCCTATAGCCTAGTTGCTAACTCTTAATCTTCCCGCAATCTTCATGTAAACTCACATTTTCCTTGGTTTGTCCTTGTTGGTGCACTGAACACTGAAGCAGAAAATAGAGGAATTTATCTTTTCACAAACTGTCCCTGCAGGAGGTGTGTTGGAGTTTGGTACTTGAACAAATAATTTCAAAACCAAAGTGCAAAGCTTAGCTGGAGTAACTTCATAAAGAGTAAGAAAATAACTAATGGAAAAACAGACCAATTAATCATACCAAGACAAAATAAAAAAAATGTTGGCCGCACTAAAATTACTTCTGCCAAAGGTCAAGTTCCAGATGTACTCCACTACAGATCTCATTCACAACAACTGCAGTATTCTAATCAGGGATGAGGCCTATTTAAAGGTGCTAAGATGAACTCTTGCTGTTTATTAATTTTTGCTCTGTTGCTCCCTATTTATCTTTGCTCTTTACGTCTCAGTGCGTTGAGATCTCCTTAGGTCCAGTGGATCGGTTTGGGAAAACAATAATAATTTGGTCGCTCAATCCACGACTGTTTGTGGGGACGCTGCTGTGTGCAATTGGCTTCTACGTTTCTCCCGCAAATACACAGTCAATTCACTTTACAGCATGTTCTGTGAAGCGCTTTGAGACATCTGGAAGACATGACAAAGCTCTATATCAAATGCAAAGATTATTCTTCTTATTATAAAAGAATGTCACTTTCCTCCTCCTCCCCCCTCCCTCATTTAGCCCAACTGATGTTGATGAAACAAACCACCTAAGACAGAGTATGACACTCATTCAAAAATAGGATTCAAACTCAGGCTTTGTCGCTAGTAATCCAGCACTGTAGGTGCCATGTAGACTACAATATTGCAGTTCAGTGCAGGCAAATAATTTGTCATACTGTTAGGTTTGCATTCATCTTCACTTTAGAGCAGGTATAAATGTTCTAATTTTCTTTAGCCTACTTTGTGTTTCCCCTGTAAACATTAAATGCTACTTTACAGTTGTTGAGAAGGTTCAGGGAGATGTTATCATCCCCAGATTGCGTTGTCCTGTTTTAGAGGAAGTCCAGTGGATTTAATGGTACACAGTTCAATGTGAATCATAGGTTGGGCAGGACAATGAAACTACTTGATTGAGTCAGTATCTGCCTAGTCCCCCCATTTTCCATCTTGCAACTTATGATTCATGCTACCGTAATTGACAATAGCTACCAATAAATTGAACATTCAGACAACTGAATGGGCATGAACTGTAGTCAATCAAATCATGCCAACAGCAGTAAGAACAGCTCTGTCTATAGATTGTATAGGCGCTTAAAACACTGCAGCATTTCAGAAAAGAGTAAATACTATAAATACCCATTCAGCTCAATGAGAGCAATTTCTGGGACTTCCACTGACCTCCATGTCTCTCGATTCTCTGTGAGAATCCTTATTTTGAACACTTAAAATGAGTCAACGTTGACTATCCCATGTTGAAATCTATTCCATAATTTATCAGCTCTTGAGTGTAACCATTCATGTTTGTCCAAATCCTTGGTCTTCCTTTCTTGATTGAAACAACCTATGTCTCTATTGGTGCAAATATGAATTTGAACTTTGAGAACCATAAAAGAGGAGTTTGTCTCATCATCACTTCACACGAGGCAGCAATCTTGTCACTTTTTTAATATATATATCTGGTCCTGTGTGTCCTTTGTGTGGCTCAGTGACTAGAACTGAACACATTATGTTCTCGTCCTTACGAGTGGATGTATAAAAATTCTGTTCAGTGTTAAACACATTGCCTTTGGGTGATGTTGGTCTTTAATGGGATTTCCCATTATAGCCACGTATGGCATTGGCAATGCATGTAATACTGAATGGAATTTTCACCCATTAATCTTCTAACTGGAACGATCACTCCTGGGTTCCTTACTCTCGGGCGGCTGTTGTCTGGGTGATTTATTATCCACGTTACAGCTTTCCTTTTCATGCATAGAGCTTTCACGTGTGGATGTTAACAAGTGCTTCTGAATGTCGAGAAACACATTATATTAACTGCATTAAGCAACCGTTTTGTCAATAATTTTCGATAACTGTATCAGCTCTACCTGCCTTTTACAAACTTATAATAGCATGGGATTAGTTTATTGCTATTACTCTTGCAAAATCTACTTGAACTGCCTTTTCTACAAGAGCCTCTGGCATTTTTCCTACTATAGATGTCAACCTAACAGGCCTGCTGTCCTAATTTCTTCTAAAGTACATTGAACTCCCTCCATCTGAAGCGAAAGGGAGGGGGTATGCTGTTCCATTTGCTAAGTCTAGAGCACATTTACCAGATTGCCCAGATGTGGCATTGTTTTATAACTTGTTTATTTTAAATTGTGGGGCTTTATTTGTTCTTTTAGTAGCTTAATGATAGTATCACAGGTTGCATCAGTTTGCTGTGATTTTTGCCGTTCCTCTCCACTGTCATAAATTCAGCATTGTGACTGACATTAATTAGCAACAGAGTAATATAGGCCATAGAGGACATTGCAGCCAGGCCTGAAATTATTCTCGCACAGCATCAATAAACCTAGGCTCTCCAGCAGGAGTCACTGAATAGCTGTCAGAAAGGAAAATGCTCATTGATATTACCCTCAGTTTAGTGGGGAATAAAGTTGAGATCAGCTAATTCAGCACGGGCTAGGAATCGATCCTGTAACCTTGTGTTCTGCACAGCTTTGTACTGTACTGGGAAGTGACTTTGCCCATTAGTTTATGGGGAGGAAGAGGGGAAGCATTTTAGAATACTTTGCTAAAGATTTCATCCCTTCTGCATTTTCTTCTAATGCCCTGTGATTTGTGTTGTCTTTTCCAAATCCCCTGCATTGAAAGGGACCTGTGGTAAGGCACCAAAAAAACAAGCGAAGAAAACTTATTCTGATTTTTAAGAAGTAATAGCATTAAAGAGAAGTGCAGCAGGAAGCCACTACCATGTGCTAAATTTAGCTTGATAAAATATTTAGGATGCGAGCAGATTCTCTCCTGCATTATACAGTTCAAATTATCCTTCCTCAATCCAGTTGGGGAACATGTAAACTCTTGAATTCAACAATTACTGTAAAATAATGCCCAATATCTAGGAAGTACAGCATTTCTGGTCATTTGATGCAATTGCTTGCGTTTGTCACAAACATGGAAGGTTTGGGTTAAAAAGAGCATCACCAATCTAGATCCTGCTTGAAAATCTTTGCATAGTCAACCTGCCAATAACTGAATTAAGATGTGGATCATTAAGCACCCTATCCCTGCCAACATGTAACACTGCGCTAACTCCTCATCGAATTCATTGAAATCCAACTGTTAAATCAAACAAAATAATTGCTGCACATTCTCAGAAAGCCCCCTGGTGCCTTTGGTTTTTAATGTCATCACTCTTGTTCTCCAGCCCAAGATTTTAATTTCCTGACTTTATTGCTTATCAGTTCTGAAATTGATTTTTATTTTCCTAAGCAAGCGAGAGCAAAGACTATTCTGTTAAAATCTAAGTGCTATTATACAGTACAGGAGCATAATTAATGGTTATTAATTCATTAAATATTTGCTTTCAGCAGTTTATGTAATAAACGTCGGGAGGACGTCCCAAAGCGCTTCACAGAACACACTGTAAAGTGAATTGACTGTATATTTGTGGGCGAACGCAGCAGCCAATTGCGCACAGCAATGTCCCACAAAGTTGTAGATTGAAAATGATCAATTTATTATTGTTTTGTTTTTTTGGAGGGATTATTATTAGGCGTGTGGAGTAAGGAAACTTGCCCAAGGTTTCGCCCTGCCTGGATTGTGGCTAGATACTAAGGAATATTGTCCAAGAAGGTACATGTAAATCAATTAAACAAATATACCGTCAATTCACTTTACAGTATATTCCGTGAAGCGCTTTGAGATGTCTCAACAACGTGATAAGGCTCTATATTCAAATGCAAGGATTATTATATATCAAACGTTATTGCGTCTCTCTGAGTAAGTTCAATAATGAAAACATTTTGTAATATGGTATGTCATTTTTAATTTCTTCTTGATTTACAGAAGGAAGTCTTCACCTTTAGTAAATCTCATGAAAAACTCCATTCCCTCACAGATGAAGAGGTTTGTAGTGTTCAAATTTGTTTTTCTCTCTCTCTACTCTTTGCCCTCCCCATATGCTTAACTACCTGTATTATCTGACCCAATGAAACCTCAGAGTAAAACTGAATCTGTATAAGTTTTGTAATATTAATGATCTGAACAGTTTGACTGCATAAAAAGGGTGGGCGACATTTACTGAAGGCTTGGCTGTTTTGTACACTTTCAAGTTGTTCTGACCATTTTTTATTCATCTTTAATTTGCAATTTGGATACTCTCTTGAAGAATTGGGAATTAAATCATTATGACTATCTCTAGGGCAAGGTTTATAGCTCTGCACCAATTGCCCAATGAATCGGACCCAGATGTGTTCAGATGCCACACATCGCTATGATTTTAGCGACAACTCTAGCCGGGGCGTTCATCATGAACAGGGTTTGACGCAATGCAGACAGGGCTGGAGCCCCCACTCCTAACACTGCCTGGAGGAGACAGCAAGCAAACAGTGTCAATTTTGTAATTCTATGATTTGCAGTTAAATGCAATGGAAATTAGAAAACTAATGTTTAACATGAATTCATTCATGCACCATGAGATCATTCCTAAACCGAGGTCAGAATGATCCAGGCTGAATGGATTCTTAGAACAGATGCATTCACCTCTGCCCTCATACAGTATAAATTATCAGCCTGACACAGGCTCTGTGTTTTCGCATAGAAATAACAGGGGTTTCATATCCCGATTTTGTTGTACCCCATCATACAGTAACTTTTACACCAACTTCAGGAGGTCCTGGTTTAGCTCCAAACTGGGGAAAGCAGCTCTGCATCTCTCTCTCTTTTTAATACAGAGATGTTTGCTCGCCAAGGCGAGGCATGTCAGCATTGGGGAATGTAACACGTTTCCATTTTGAGTACCAAGTGACACTCCCAGGTCATGCACTCCCAGGTTATGCATAACTCAAAAGTAAAGCTCGCCAACTCAATTACACGCTCCCACCTCCACACCGTATCAGTTGCAAATTCCCAACAAGTGTCGATTCCAATATGTATGATTCCTCTAGTGATGGAAATCTAACATGATCATCTCAGCTCTAGACTTTGTGCCCAGATCCAGCTCAGCTCAGGCAGAATCATTGGACAGAAAGTTGTGAGTGTTGTGAATGTATAAAATGTACTGCTCTAGCAGGGTATAAACGCAGATTCAATTGGGGGGGTTTAGGAGGGAGATGGTATTTGAGAAGCAAAGGATTTTTTCTTGGGGGGGCGGGCAGTTGGGGCGGGGGAGGGGAGGAAAATTAGATTAGAAATTATCGCAATGGTGCAGTAGGCTTGATGGACACGATAGGTACATGAGATGCCTCCAATCTGAATCCAAACAGTCCAAAATTACAGTGGCCTACATGCAGTTAGCTATTAATCTATTACAAAGTTCTTTAACTACAAACATTCGGTAGTGTTGTCCAGGTTGTCAGTCCTCTACAAGATCTACAGTCCAAAGTGATGAAAACTGAACAAATCAACTTGGTTCTTTTCCAAAACTGTGTGAAAACAGATTCCAAGTTATGACTCAACTTACAAAGTTTTCCACATTTCTTAACAATCTTCAGTTGTAGGTAAAATGCTCTTATAGACTAATACCAAGTAGAATTTCAGGCCTCTGGTATCCCATTGTATCAGGTAGTAATGATCAACCAAAATGCTTGGTTATAAATTAAAATCTTAATGTAATATACTTAAGATTGCTGCTTTGTTTAAAGCTGTAGTGTTTCAAGAACCATCCGCTTGTCATTTTCATCAATTCAGAATAGTCCAATTGGTATTTTTTTCCCAACTGGCCAGCCAATAAGTAATTCAGTGATAATTATCGAAGCTCAAACTTGAGCAATATCCTTTGGCATAATTGTGGCTTCTACAAAATGTTTCCTGCAGTTGCCTTAAAAATGCAATTAATACCCAGAGCATTAAGTTATCTTATGAAAATACGCCTGTATATTTCTCATCAAATTACACATTTTACTAGAGTAGACAATCCCATTGTCNTTTTTTCCTGCAAATTAGCCCTTTGAGACCAACTAAAGCTTATGATTATGTTGCCAGCTTGCGGTTTTAATCTTCATTTGCTAATCAATAATGAGCTTGCACATGTCTCAAGCCAAACAAAGTTTTACTGTACTTGAATAATAGAGTTCAGCACAACACATCCTCATGCAACTTGAAAGAGAGTTGAAGTACAAGGTGCTGTTTCTGTATTGAAAACTTAGCAGCAGTGAGAAACAACTGTTATGCATTCAAAGTGCATTAAAAAGTTACATTTTAATAAGAATGAGTTGTAGTTTCCCCCGGTTTAATCTTAGCTATTTGGCAACCTTACATTCTGAAGTCATTTTCTACGTTAAAAAGTAGTTGCCTTTCAAATCGGTGTCAGCACAAACCAAACTGCCAAGATGGTGTTCAGATTATAAATCATTTCAAGTTAAGACATGCACCAAACTAGCCAACTCCTGGTTGGAATAATGATCACATTACATTTATACAAAACTGTGTTTTTAAAGGGATTAAATGATTAGGACAACTAAATGAGTGGCTTGAACAGAGTAGGTGTTAGCAATTGGTTATTGGCTGTTCAGGATGACAGCCATGGCTGGAGTTTTTGTTTGTGAGTACTCTATTGAGCTGTAAGAAGGGGGCAATGTGTCAGGATAATCATTATCTGTGAGCCTTTTTTGTTCCAAACAGCTGTACAGCAGCTTTCAAACTGTTTGACTTGTAATTTCCTGTCAGGAAAATGCATTGAAGCAAAACAAAAAGACATGATTTACCGTATGTGTTATCATCGTCTCAAACAGTTAGAGAGAAGTCACTTTATTAGCAACATTTTTTTCCCTTCCAGCATTTTAAAATTCAAGTCTCTGCTTTAGCTAGTAATTTAAAGGCCTTTAGATCTCAAGCGCCCATGTCATCTCATTGAGATTGAAGCTCAGCACAATTTATAGTAACAGCTCAAGTTGACTTAAACCGTTACCATCATTCAAGGAAAGAAAACTGCAGAAATGGATTCCTCAATCATTCCCCAAACTCATTTTTGATGTTTGAAACGACTGTGCAGTACTTTAGTCAGAGAAGTATTTAACCTGATGATTCTGTTTTTAAATCTCTCCTAAAACATTTACATCGCAAACATTGTGGCAGGTTTGTATTGCCAAACACATTTGTTTACAAACAGGAATTTCTTGTTAAATCATGTGGCCCTTTTGAAACTTGGGCTTTAAACAGTGCCTTTTTAGGAATTTCTATTGGGTACTAGTGCGATCACAGCAGGTAGAGACGGGGCTAATTTGGGATGTCCAAAACCTGCAGAAGTAGCATTTACACGGTTGTTCATAATTTTTACAACAGTAACATTGTTGGACAGTTGCTAAAATTTGTTGGTTTAGACTACTTTTTTTTTAAAAATGTATTAATTTACGTAGCACACGGTTTCTTAAATTATTAGCAAATAGGAATAAATATATCCCTTGTTACCCAGGCTGCTCCCATCATCTTATTAGTCTCTCATTTTACTGTGTAGTTTGTTCTGTCGATTGCTTCTATTCCAATCCTAAAATATGTTTCAGTTCCCCTTCCTGTCCCCCCCCCCCCCCCCCCCCCACACTCCCACACCCCCGGCATGTCAGAATTCAATGGAATTCAACAACAAAGATAGAAGATAGAATTGGGAAATAAAATAAAAGGCCTTATTCAGAACAGAACAACATTATTGAAAAGGAAAACTGGATTAAATTGTCAATTCAACAATAAAGTATTTGCATTCCTCATATCCAGATCAGATTTCTGGCAATATATGATTGGAAGCATTATATTTGAAATGTTTTAATGCAACATATTCAGGTATTAGCAGATTGCACAAAGGCTGTTAACATTACTTGGTCTGCTTAGCAGACTTGGTCATTATTTAGCAGACCAAGTAATGTTAACAGCCTTTGTGCAATTTCTTAAGAAAAGCTAAAATGTTTCTATTAAATTGAGCTGTTATTGATGTTGTTCGTTGCAAATCATACAGTGAATGTGAATAAATAATAATAAACCTTGAACGTTGCCTTAAATGTTATTGTTACATTACAGCTGTGTAACTGATGCTTTTGTTATGCTGAACGTGGAGAGTAAGCAAACAGTCAGTGGTCTTTCAATCTCACTTTGTTGTGCAGTATTATAATCTGGACTATGTGCAGGCAAAGCAGAAATTTGAGATGGTAATTTAACAACTCAGGAAACAGCTGTGGAGAAAGTATATACATTACTGTTATCAAGAGGATGTTCAGTCTGTCGCAAATGAGCCTGTGGTGCAAAAATATATAAACTAGCTTTATAGTAGGTAATGACTGAAAACTTAACACTGATATATATTTGGGTTGCAAATAATGCAGCACTCCACGCAACGCAACAATCCAGCGACTAATCTACATTCTAAATTACCCTCCGATCTCAATTATTATTATAATTTATGATTCTTTTGAATCCAACTGGGTATAATTTCCAACTCAAGAAAGCTACTAATCTGCTCGTCCTCTCTCTGTACATATAAATAAATATCCAACCATAAACTGTTTTGCCTACATAAATACAGTCACTGCACATTACTGTGAATCCTTTCAAATGCTTCGAGATTTTCCTACCAAAGTGAAAGTGACTATATGAATGGTTATTATTGTTGCTGCCTTCCTGTTTTACCATTACAGCTGATTATGTCAGTCATGGGAGTGGCTTCACAAGCATTTTCTTCCACAACAAACAAATACTTTGTCTGTTTCAAGACCCTCTTCTTCAACCACGCCTTCAGTCACTATCCTAGCTCTACCCTCACTGTTCTCCACCCCTCCTGATCCTAACCCCCTACTCGGGTCCAAATCCCTGACTGTCCAGCAGCTTGGGACATTCTCCCGACGTGAAAAGCGCCGTGTAAATGTAATTTGTTGTATGTATATATATATAGAACAGCGAGAAACAGCTTGTATTCAGCACCTCACTCAACTTTTACATTTATGTCCATCTAAACCTTGAATGGAAACTAACCCCGAAATATTAGTTTGGTATCTGTTTTGATGTGTTGTGTACAGGCAATCTGATTTGCATCGTTTGTTACTAATTAATTACGCTACTTACCAAATGCCCTTTTCCCTCTTACAGATTGCAGGAATGTATTCGAAGGTGGCAAAAAAATACCCAAGGAAGGAAGTCCTATTGCCACTAAGAGGAAGGATCCCCAAAGAAACCAAAATGTATAGCCGTTCCTGGTCAGCAGATAATCTGAACGAGGAGGAATCAGAGTACGAGGCTATCAAGAGCCCACACTGGCACACAGGCAGTCGGACTCCGGTAAATGAACCTGATTATGCCTTCGTTAATGAAAAGGCCTGGGGGAGGAAATGGCAGAGCGACGAAGAGACGGAACCAGGCTATGAAGCGATCAATATCAAATCGAAGAAAACGGATTTCCCGCCAAAGCGGGCCAAAGCACAAAAGTTTCCTCCTGTCAGGCCGACGGAAAACTATTACGAAAGTATCAGTGAACTGCAGCAGAGTCGAACACATACCAGAGTGCTCACCTGTGAAGACGGCAAACAATTGTTTGTAACCGGACTCTGATGATATAAAGACGAGAGATATTGAGGAAATGTGGGGGTGGGGGAGGGAGGTGGAGGGGGTGGGGAGGGAAGTGGAAGTGGGGGGTTGCAGTAAGTATTTCGCAGTTGGCAATTACAGAGACACTTCACACACAAAGATCAAATTAGGTTACTTTTTTTTAAATCGAACGAAAACATCAATTCTATTTTATACTATAGGTGCTTCATGTTTTTTTGCATAATTTAATGTGGTTTCTCCAGATAAAATTTGCGTGAGATGCAAAGTTTCTTTGTTGCCTTATTTGAAGTATATATATTTTTAAAAACAGTTGGTTTAGAGAATCATATATTTTCTGTGTTGATTGTTTTGAAGGAGAAGACAACCTTATGAGAAGAGTTAAACGCCTTGTAATGTTCTGTTGTTCACCATTAGGTCAGCTGTACTTTTTTGCTATTAACTATTAACCTAATTTGATCATTTGTAAAAATCTTCAATCGATCTTTAAAACTCAAACCAACAATGCTAAAAATGAGACTCTCGTTAAATTACTGCCTCCATGCTCTCCTTTACCATGTTGAAAAGCAACCTATCTTTTTAAACAACACTGGCAGGTCTATATGTTCAAAGTCTGAAATGTTAACATCTTATATACATTTTGTATATCAAGATTTTAAGTAGTACAAAAAAATAGGAACACATCATTTTATAAAACAGGTTCCAAACAGCACAGTCCAATTTCTATGTCATTTGTAGATCAACAGTATTATTGATGTTTTATAGCCTGATTGCTGCTCATTTTACCCCTGCTGGAGTACATGCACAACATACTTATATTGTATAGAAAACTGAACTAGTCTAGAAACAAATATTTTCTTTTTTTGCAAATTCGAATTAGTGTTGCATCGATAATTCTGCTTATTTTCATGTGGATTAATGCATTCCAGTTAGTTTACTTGCCTTTCGTCCACAGTATAACCAAATCCTTTTGAGTAGCCTCACTTAATGTGTAGTCTTGGCCCTGGAATGAAGGAAACTGTAGTGAGGGAAAGCTTCTAAATGTGTTTGTTTGAGTCTGACAAGAGTCTACATCATTGATTTTTCAATCATTTTAGCGTTTTCAAGTCAGGGGACCAAAATAATAGTTGGGTCTAAGCCAATAGGATTCACCGCCTTTAAACATATAAAAAAATGTCTGGACCAAACAGCACATAAATATCCCTGACCCATCAGATACCTCAATAACCACACCTAGACATTTACATTATGCATTACAACAACATCATGCATTATTTTTCTGTGTCATTTAAACCTAGATTCAGATTCGTCACACAAATATACACATTTTTCCTACAAACAAATTGTATTTTAAAAATGTGATGGTAGACTTTCTATGAAACATAAAGCTTTATATACGTCAGGATATTAGATGGGGTGGGGGGTGGGGGAGAAACAAAATGTTTGAATAAAAATGGTGATTACAAATGAAGTCAGAATTTGGATAAAATTTAAATTGCAATAGAAATTTTAAAGGTACTTGTAGAGTTTGGCATGCATGAGTTGGAATGCATTGCTTTGGGAATTGATGCCCCACATGATAGGAGTTTATATAGGTGCAAGTGGTTGTTGTCGTTGAATATTCCAATATGTTGGATGGAAAGCAATAAAATGTAAGCTGAATTGTCGACTGTTTAGGTTTGTGGCACAAACCAAGCTCGAGTTTGTATGTTTTAGCAATTACACTGTAACGTTTGTTAACGGACTCTGTCCATAAATATTTGTGGGCTGCCATGAATTGTGTTCAAAAATGTCTGTTTTTATTCAATCGTAATTGTGTAATTCAAAAATATTTGTTCAATCTTACTGTCAGGATTACTGTCGGTCGTGGTGAAATTAAAAGCTGCGTACTTTGGAAAATTTCTGATGTCACCAAATAGCAAGTCCACATCACTGTGTAAAGGTTATTCTGCACCCCTCTCTGGCACAGCAATGTACAGTACTGTACTTCACACAAGTGTACACGGGCACCGAATAAATACATCTTCTGAGCAAGTCCTTTGCTGCGATGAAGTTTCATTTCTAAATGACTAAAGCGAATACTTTACATAACATTAAGGAAACATGTCACGTCAGTTTCCTAAGCTAAGATTTATTTTTCATTTGACTGCAATCGTGTTACAAAGCGCCGTGCAGCAGAGAAATTGTACGAGGAGAAGAACAACAACAACAACTTGCATTTTTATAGTGCCCTTCATGCAAGGTAGTGTTCCAGAATGCTTGGAACACAGTAATGCAAGGGAAGACTTGGTGTTTAGAAGAAAGAATGTGCAGTGTTAGAGGGAAAAGTAATAAAAAGAATTTTCAATTGTTTGAAACTGAATGACTGGACTGAAAATGAAATATAAAACATAAGGATTATTTATGAATTTATTCATTCCGTTTCATTCACATCCCTCGACTTGGTCAACATAATTCGGCCCAAAATCCGAAGATTCAGAATGCAACAGTAAAGCTATGCTGTCCTGGTCTGGTTATTTTGAATAATTCATGACACAATACATTGCTTGTTTGATTAATGACCACTCAATTATTTACCTTGTAATGCAGTCCTGCAGCAAAATCAACTCTGTTCTATTTTTCAACAGTTCAATATTAGGGAAGAATTAGACCTAAATAAACAAATATGTATATAATATATACACAAGACATGCCAGATAGGTTCTGTATTTCCAGCTATAGGATGGAGTAATCCTTCATGAAAGATAGATAGATAGATGATTAAGAGTAGAATAAACTAATTGAAACATGAGAATTGACTAGACTTGACCGAACATGTTCGCCTGACGATTACTGTCTTGGTTTGGCTGTCTTCCTCCTACCCTCCCAATAAATCATTCCGTGAAAAGCTTTGTAGTTCAGTTTCTCACTTGTGAATAAGAGTGTGTTCCATTTATTTTCGAACACCTCCCACCCCCATTGCTGTGATTTTTGTTTTCTGTGTATCATGACAATTTAATGAGATTGTATTTCACTTTTACGTTAACAAAACAAAATTTAAGATTAACAATGGTGGCCGAGACATTGCAGATGAGAGCAGTGGAGCTGATCCTGGTGTTAAAGGGATGAAGGAGTAGATGAGATCGAGCTCTTCAACCTAAAAGAAAGGGGTCTCGGAGCGCTTAACAGTGGCGAAGCCCAATGCCGAGCCGGGGGGGGGAAGGTGACTGTAGGCACGGTCAAAGAGGGAGGTCTTCAAGCATGATGTGAAAATGGGGAGAGGGGGGCAAGGCGGAGGGCTTGAGGGAGAGAGTTCCACAGCTTCAGGACATAACTAATTCGAGGTGTGAAAGGGACAGTTAAATGGTTCCTTCATTTTAACCGTGTTTGCAATCTCTCCATTTGTGATTTTAAACTTGTACGTATATCTATACAGGGAAAATGTCCAAAATTCATAAAAGTGTGTTGTTGTCTGTGTGTCCAGGAAAGGCCTGAATATACTATAAAATCATTGACATTGATATCACTGTGGCACACCACCAGAGAAACAAGAACTCATAACATAACTATTAAGTGCTATTATTGATTACATAGCAAACAATTTCCCTTGCCAAGCCCACAGTTGTCAAAATCAACTGCAATGTTCCCACAGTCATGTTGTCTGAAATTGACATAGAGTGCTCAGACCTTGGTGGTACGTACGCATGTCCGTCCTATCAGTTATGGTACCACGTGAGACATTCAGTCACTGACTCTTTGAAGAGGGATATTTACAATTATTTCAAATAACTGTTCATTAGTTCAGCTGACATAATAGCAAACAATAATGTTCCATATTAACACATGAACTTCAATGAGAACCATTTGCCTGTGCCAACTAGCCTCACCGCCCATACACTACATTACCTAGGTCGATACTGTGATATCAAAGCTTGATTGAATAAAAGTTTTATAATTTATAGTTTCCCCTCTTCCTGGGAAAAATAAAATGCACTCACATCCCTTTCCCTTGTGGTTTTCCGCCCTCACCTTCGCGCCTCCTCTTAACAACCCAGTTTAAATGAATGGCTTTATTTATTCACGCTGCGTGTGTGTAAAAATGATTTGAATCCCCCACGTTTCAACGCTTGGTGCTTTAAGCTCAAGTTCTTAAGCTGCAGCACAGCCAAGAGAGCACGAACGGTTAAGGCTTTTGGCTGGTTTGAAAGCGATATAAAACGTTCAAACGCTGAGTGGTGTCCAGCCACGGACAGATCTGAAGACGGTGTAAATCAGGCAACACGACTAACACAATGGATCAAGTTTTAAGAGGCGATAAAATGAGAATCAAGAATTTCTGACTCATGCGTTTTTCTAAAAAAAGACATATTCTTTAGCCCAATAACTGTAACGATGGGTGGGCGTAATAAATCAGCCAACTCCTTGAACCAAGCAATAAATGACAACACCTTATGGGAGTTTTCACTCTTTTTTCACAAATATGATTTCACAAGCTCCCCCCCCCCCCCCCCACCCCCACAAACCCCAACCCCAAACCCCCCAATTCTTTCTTGCAAAGAACACACAATTTAACGCAGAGAGATCTGATAATCATTGCACAATTTGGATTGAATCCTCACTGAATGAATACCAAAAGCAGAGAGAGTGGGGGGAATGGGAAGAAAGAAAGAGGAGGAGGAGAAGAAAGAGAGGACGGGGTGGGGGGGGGGAATGTTTCCGTATCCGGGGCAAGTATTGGGGGGTGTGGGGGGGGGGGGGAGTAACGTTTAAAAACTGCGAGAGAGAGAGAAGAGGAGGAGGGAGTGGAATGAAGTTTTGTGTTAAAAAAACTTTTATGGGCGAGTCAGTAAGGGAGTCCCCCCCACCCAAACCAGCCCCCCCCACCCAAACCAGCCCCCCCCACCCACCCCTCACCCAAACCAGCCCCCCCACCCAAACCCACCCCCCCCACTCAACCACCCCCCCTCACCCAAACCAGCCCCCCATCCAAACCCACCCACCCCCACCCAAACCAGCCCCCCCACCCAAACCAGCCCCCCCACCCAAACCAGCCCCCCCCCACCCAACCAGCCCCCCCCCCACCACCCCCCCCCCACCCAACCCCCCCCCACCCAAACCCCCCCCACCCAACCCCCCCCCACCCAAACCCGCCCCCCCCCAAACCCGCCCCCCCACCCAACCCGCCCCCCCACCCAAACCAGCCCCCCCACCCAAACCAGCCCCCCCCCACCCAACCAGCCCCCCCCCCACCCAAACCAGCCCCCCCCCACCCAAACCCCCCCCACCCAAACCCCCCCCCACCCAAACCCCCCCCCCCACCAGCCCCCCCACCCAAACCCCCCCCCCACCCAAACCCCCCCACCCAAACCAGCCCCCCCCCACCCAAACCAGCCCCCCCCACCCACCCTCACCCAAACCAGCCCCCCCACCCAAACCCACCCCCCACCCAAACCAGCCCCCCCCACCCACCCTCACCCAAACCAGCCCCCCCACCCAAACCAGCCCCCCCACACACCAAAAATAAACACCAATAGCTCCACTGTGCTTTGCACTGCACTGATCTGAACGAATGTTTCGACAGATATCTCTGATACAAAACCGATCAACAAACGATCGATTGGGGATAATGACAATTGTAAATCATATGGCGACTAAATGGCTACACTGTGTCTGTCCCCTGAGCCTCAATGGATACCTTTCAGAAACATATCCCGCTTTTAAAAAGGGGGGCGGGGGTGTTTGTGGGTGTGTGTGTGTGTGTGGGGGGGGTGTTTGTGTGTGTGTGGGGGGGGGTGTGTGAGGGGGGCGGTGATAATGAGAAGGCGGGAGGGGGTTGGGGGGGGTGGGGGGGAGGGGGTGGTGGGGGGGGGGAGGGGGTGGTATTTGCAGGTCTGTGGCTCGTTGCATCCAACAAGATTAATATTGCAACCAAATAATAATAAAATAACACAGGTGTGGGGGGGGGACTGGGCTGAGCCACTCCGACTCCGGCCGCTTAGAGATCTCTCTCTTTCTTTCTCTCTCTCTCCTCTTCCCTCTCTCCCCCTCTCTGTCTCTCTCTCCTCCTCTCCCTCCCTCCCTCTCCCTCTGCGAAGAACACCAACGTGCGGTACGTGCTGTAAACACTGCCCACCAGCTCCGGCCCAGGGAGTCATGTGCGACTGATGGGCGGAGAGATTCCCCCCTTATTAACGCACTCGAATGCCCCTTTAATCGCATGGGGGGGGGAGGGGGAGAGAGAGAGGGGGGGGAGAGGGGGAGAGAGAGGGGGGGGAGGGGAGGGGGAGAGAGGGGGAGGGGAGAAAGAGAGGGGGGAGGGGAGGGGGAGAGAGGGGGAGGGGGAGAGAGAGGGGGGGGGGGAGGGGGGAGAGAGAGAGAGGGGGGAGGGGAAGGGGAGAGAGAGAGGGGGAGGGGAGGGGGAGAGAGAGAGGGGGGGGGAGAGGGGGGGAGGGAGAGAGGGAGGGGAGAGGGGGAGAGAAAGAGAGAGGGGGAGAGGGGGAGAGAAAGAGAGGGGGGGAGAGGGAGAGGGGGGAGAGAAAGAGAGGGGGAGACGAGAGAGGGGGGAGAGAGAGAGAGGGGGGAGAGGGGGAGACGAGAGAGGGGGGGGAGAGGAGAGAGGAGGGGGAGAGGAGGAGGGGGTGTGGATTCACGTGCACACAGACTTGACTTGTTGCACACAACTTTGCACACTCGACCCTCGATGGGTATACCCCCCACACACACACACACCCCCTCCCCACCCCACCCCGAGGAGAAGGCAACGGCTCATCCTCACGAGCGGACGCGCTGAGTCAGTAAGTAAAGAGCGGAGTGTGAGAGTGAGAGTGTGAAACACAGAGCGAATACGAACCGAGAGCAGAAACACAGAGAGAGAGAGAGAGAGAGAGAGACAATACCGACCGCCAATCACACGGACGAGGCGTCACTCCCCCAATCCAATCGCCGCGAGAGGGGTTTATTGTTGTTGTTGTTGTTTATTTAATATTAACACTAATAATAATAATAATAATCCTCGCATTTGATATAGCGCTTTTCACGTCGGGAGGACGTCCCAAAGCGCTTCACAGAACACACTGTAAAGTGAATTGACTGTATATTTGTGGGCGAACGCGGCAGCCAATTGCGCACAACTGGAACTGTTAGAGAGACACACAGACAGACAGACAGACAGACAGAGAGGTTATTATTTATTTATTTATTGTTGTTGTTGTTGTTGGATTCAAATCCTCCAGACTTTGTAAAGGGGGCATTTTAAACCGTCCGCCCCCCCCCCCCCTCCTCCTCTTGACAAAAGCAAATAAAGAAATACATGGAGTGGGGGTCTGGGTGTGGGGGTCTGTGTGTGGGGCTGTGTGTGTGTGGGGCTGTGTGTGTGTGGGGCTGTGTCTGTGTGTGGGGCTGTGTCTGTGTGGGGGGGGGGGTGTGGGGGGTACTCTTTGCAGAATGGTTGATTTGCAAATTTGAGAGGCTCGTTATTTTTTATTTAAGGGGGGGAGGGATAGATGGGGGGGAGGGATAGATGGGGGGAGGGATAGATGGGGGGAGGGATAGATGGGGGGGAGGGATAGATGGGGGGGAGGATAGATGGGGGGGGGGAGGGATAGATGGGGGGAGGGATAGATGGGGGGGGTACAAAAAAACACCCTCGGTGTCCACCACACAGATAATTTCTCGGGTTGTGTGGCACTCTCTTGACTGTCCCACCCGCCGAGAGCTCGTGTGTGTGTGTATACAGGACTCCGCCTACGACCTACTGCTCCAGAGCGCTTCCAACACACACTCCCCCCCCACACCCTCTCTCCCCCTTATCTCACCCTCCCTGCCCCTGTCTCCCCCTCCCTCCCCCTCCCTCCCTCCCTGTGGCTGTGTGGAGCCGGTTTCTGGGGGTAGCAAGAAGTGGGGAGGGGGGCAAAGAAGGAAGGGGAAAAGGAAGGAGGGAGAAGGGGAAAAGAAGGGGAGGGGGGAATGGGAGGGGAGGGAATGGGGAGGGGAATGGGGAGGGAATGGGAGGGAGGGGGGAGAGGGGGGGGAATGGGAGGGGAGGGAATGGGAGGGGAGAATGGGGGGGAATGGGGAAATGGGGGAATGGGAGGGAGAGGGGGATGGGGGGAGGGGGATGGGGGAGGGGAGGGTGAAGGGGAGGGGAATGGGGAGAGGGGGGAGAGAAGGAACACAAAAAGGCCACTTGCAATTGACGCGCAGTTACACAGCTGCTCCCCCGCCGCCGCCGCTGAGTGACAGCCGGTCTCGGCCAATCGGGGCCGCCCGCCGCCACGGCGTGGAATGTTTACAGCGGGCGCCGGCCAATGGGAGGAGAGGGGAGGCGGGGCCTGAGGGGGCGGGGGCGGGGCCGAGCCGGCGGGAGGGGGCGGGGCCGGGGGAGGGGGCGGGGTCAGAACGCCGTGTAACAAAACAGTCGGCGACAACAGGGACCGAGAGGGTCGGACCACCGCCGCCTCCCGCCCGCCCCGCGCCTCCCGAGCCGCAGCACACGGTGGGGGGGCAGGCAGGCAGGCAGGGCCTCAGCTCAGCCACTACCCACCCCCCCCCCTCCCACCACCCCCCCCCCCACACACACACCAACACCACCCTCCCCCCCCCCCCCCCCACACACTCCCCCCCACACTCCCCTCCTGACCATGAGCTGCAAACGCTTCCCCAAGAAGTACAGGGTGGGCGGCAGTAAGGTTTGCGCGCCAAGTCCGGGCGGGGAGGCCAGAGGGTGCGGGGGGCAGGTCTGCAGACACCCCCCGGGGGGGGGCAGCGGCTCGTACCCGGGCCCCGGGCCGGCGAGAGAGGGTCCCGAGCCCGACCGCGTCTGTGTCGATGCCAAAGCCCTGGGGGGGAAACCCAGACACAGCCATAAGGTATTCTTACGTTGTTTATTTTTATTTCTATCTTCCCCCCCTCTCTCTCTCTCTCTCTCTCTCCCCCCTCCCTCTCTTTTTCCCTCTCTTTCCCTCTCTCTTTCCCCCCCCCTTCTTTCCCCCCTCTCTCTCTCTCTTCCCCCCTTCTCTTTCCCTCTCTCTCCCTCTTTCCCCCCCTCTCTCTCCCCCCCCTCTCTTTTCCCCCTCTCTCTCTCTCTTTTCCCCCTCTCTTTCCCCCTCTCTCTCTCTCTCTCCTCTCTCTCTTTTCCCCCTCTCTTTTCCCCCTCTCTCTCTCTCTCTCTTTTCCCCCTCTCTCCCTCTCTCTCTCTCTCCTGCACAGTGCACTGATGGAAATTGTAGGTTTTTTTTTTGCCTTTTTTTTATATTTCATATAGAAAAAAAACATCTATTATATATATATATATATCTGTATATCTGTATATCCATATCAGCTGGAAATATAGTAACTAAGATGGCGCCTGGAGTGCACCTTCAAAGTTTTTAGAGAGAGAGAGAGAGAGAGTTGTATAAAAAGAAAGCAAAGGGATCAGTACTATTAAATGCCCAGTTCCTAGTGAGACAAAATTGGGGGTGGTGGGGGATGGGGGGGTTTGGGGGCATTATTTCTCCCCCCCCCACACCCTCCCCCATAACGACTGCCAGCACTCTTCAAAAGAGCCGAAGAACTTATGCGAGGGTCGGCGAGCAACTTTTTTTTTCTTGCTGCGGTGTGTGTGTGTGTGTGTGTAAAAAAAAGAAAAGAAAGAAAGAAGGGGGGAAAAAAAACCACACACACACACACAGCCCCCGTGTGACTTCGGCCGCCGCCGAGTCACGTAACGTCCAGTTTTTCCGACTCCGGCGTCAAGTCTTCCTTCTCGGCCGCTCGTCTTGTCCGAAAAGCACTTTTTTTTCCCCCCCCTTTTTCTTCGCGGCGCTCGAAAAGGCGGGTTCTTGTTTTATTCTGCGGCTGTGTTTCGAGCCGAGAGCAAGAGAGAGAGCGAGTTGGGTCCAGCATTTGCTTTTCCAAACAGCCCGCGCTTGCGATCCTTGAGGGAGGGGAGAACGCTTTGTAATGCGTTGTGGTCGGGAACCGCTTTACCATCGTCGCGTTGTTGTTGTTGTTGTTTTCATGACCATCTTTGTCGAACCATCTCTTGGGGGGTGTGGGGGGAGGGCCTGCGAGTTGAGAGCCGGTTGCATTCATAACTCCCGAGCTGGTGGTTCATGTTTTTTTTTTTGTTTTTTTTTAGATGCTGTTCAACTGCAGAGGCAGCGAATCGGTGTCAACGTTTCAAGATCGAGAGAGAAGCGACATCCACTGGAGAGTCTCGGAGCCTCGCGCCTCGACGGCCAAGAAGCCAGAAGACCGGTATCTGGAAAACAAATGTAACAGGAACCGCGAGGTGGACAAGGAGCCTGCGGCCCGCCCCCTTGGCTTGGGCTCGGATCAGAAACGCCTCCTGGCTTCGGCAAACATCGATGTTCCTCGCCAGAGGTAGGTGGTTGTTTTTTCCCCCCCCCACCCCACCCCACCACCCCCCTTTGCTCCGGTTTTGGGAGAGCTGCATTGCGTTGGGACACCCGGGAACGGATGGTCACACTTCAGAGTCGGAGCAGCAACAACAACAACAACAACAACAAGATTCCATTTATAAAGCGCCTTTCACGTCAGGAGGACGTCCCAACTATTGGTACACCACAGCCAAAACAACAACAGATGGCATTGACGTACAGTAAAACCTCACAGGAGTGGCGTCCCTTGGGACCGTACATTTTAATGTGACTTATCCACATTAAGTCGGGGTCGTGCGAAACGTGCAGATGTTGTAGGAAATTCAACGGGACTTTAGGCCGATGCGTGTACAGCTTAGGCGATGGTACGATTTAGATAGATCAGACTTTACTGTAGTGAAACTCCCTGACTGTCCAGTGCCTTGGGACGTCCTCCTGACGTGAAATGTGACTTTGTATTGTAGTGCCCTTCATGTGGGATAACATCTTCTTGCTGTGCTTTCATGTGATTGGGGTTGGACACGTGTTGTGGGAGGGGGAGGTGGTCGTGGTACGTTTTGGCAGTTTTGGAATTCGACTTCTGGTTTTTTTTTATTGAACCGATATCAGTTTCGCCAAACTTCGGGAGTGCTTTTGCAGTCAAAAAAAAAAAATGCCCTGCTGCTCGCTGAGCTGGGGAATCACTGGCGTTCATTGACAATCCGTAGAACAAACATTTTACATGTCTGAGGTTCACACTGGTGAAATTTGCAAGGCACCGCCGCTTAGACTGCCAGACGTCTGCAATTGCATTTGTGTTTATATTTTGACAATTGTATCGTTTGTTACCCCCTAATGTTGTAGAAAGATTGACAACAGGGTGGTTTTATTGACACACACGTGTGTGTGTGTGTGTATATATATGTGTGTGTGTGTATATATATGTGTGTGTGTGTATATATGTGTGTGTGTGTTATATATGTGTGTGTGTGTATATATATGTGTGTGTGTGTATGTATATGTGTGTGTGTATATATGTGTGTGTGTGTATATATGTGTGTGTGTGTATATATGTGTGTGTGTGTGTATATATATGTGTGTGTGTGTATATATATGTGTGTGTGTGTATATATGTGTGTGTGTGTGTATATATATGTGTGTGTGTGTATATATATGTGTGTGTGTGTATATATATGTGTGTGTGTGTATATATATGTGTGTGTGTGTATATATATGTGTGTGTGTGTGTATATATGTGTGTGTGTGTGTGTGTATATATGTGTGTGTGTGTATATATATATATGTGTGTGTGTATGTGTGTGTGT